TCTGGGCTTGACTGTGCTTGGCTATCTTTCACTCACATACAGCTTTCTCCTATTTTTTTGGCCTTATTGTTCTCATGCAGGACTATGTGTTTTACATTTTCTGCAATGCTGAACTCTCCATAAGTCTGATACGTTTTTAAGTTAAGTTTCAGAGCCAGTTTGAAGTCTCGGCTGTGGCCATTGTGTTGTGGGGTGTGAGTGTGTCTCCACTGCTTCTGTAAGCACTTTTATCTAGAGCATACGTATAGTGTTCATTTATCATGAATAGGTATGTGGAGTTGACACGTGCTGGCTGGAGTTATGTGTGTTCACTCAGAGCTGCACTCTGAACTCTGACAGACTAATGGAAGATGGACGTATGCTTGATTCTGTCACTCTAACAGCAGTGGGCAATAGCTCCTTCCTCCTGCTGAACATGTTCCTTTCATGGGAAGATAAACCAGATGTTTCACTCTTATGCGGTCTGACAATTTATTGACCGTGTGTTTTTTTTAAGCCTGTGCGCTCTGCAGTTTGTTTGGCTGGTTACTAGGACGTCAACTCGGAAAGCAACCCCCCTCCCACCCCCTTAAACACACTAAAGGCGTGGAGGTCTCCTTACTTTCACTGTCTTCCTCCTTTCTCTTTACTCCAGGAACATTCCTCCCTGGGGGCTTTCGGTCCCTCAGTTGACACTTTCATGGTTTGCCATGAAATATCGAGGTGGAGTCAACTTTCCGTCTGAAGCTCAGTTGCGCAGCCTCCAGGCCACAGATCAGCAGATAAATGAGAGGGGCAGCAGCACCCACCCTGCAGGAGCCCACATTTGCTCTCCATTAGGCAGACACAGAGAGGAATCCTTGTCTCAGGAATATCATCTTCATTCTCACCCAAACCTTCCCAATTTCTCCTTCTTTTCTCTTTTATTGGCAGTGATATGTATTTTCACTGTTCGCTCAGTATACTGTAAAACTGTGGTGAATTCTGTTTGGGATTCACAAACTTATACTTGTGGTTGTGTAGAGGCCAATGAGGGGTCTCTGGGTTCCTGCTGAGGGCCAAACCAAACTGTTCCTGCACAAGACTGTATGCTGCTCACTCGCTCAAATTATGGACAGAACTGCCACACACCACAAATTACTGTGTGCCTCTGCAACATTCAGCCCTCAGTTTAACTCTTTGGAATTGGAAAATGTTAAGTCTGTCTCGTATAGAAATATTCAAAAAGCATACAGCCCTACAAAGGTACAGTGCAGTAACTATAGATTCATTCAGAAAAAAGGGGTTAGTGTTCGCAAACTGTAAAACAGATAGAACCCAAAAATTGAACAGCCACAGAACCTACACAATACATTTAAAATGCAGATACTCCACTCTGCCTTTGGATAATCTTCACCGGATGCTTAGATAACTGCAATATCTATCTACCAACAAAATGTGCTCAGCTTTCTCTTCCATTTTAACTAGTTTGTTTAAGAAAATGAACTTTGTGATTTAAAAGTAACTGAACCAAATCAAACAAAAATTCACTGGAGTCAAAAAAGGAGATGACAGCTAATGAGAAGCTAGCTATTTACCTGTAGCAGGAGTCTGGCTGTTTTTCTTCCTTCTCCATCATGAATTGATTTAGTTACCGCCCTATTTCATTTTTACTTTAGCTGCAAAATGTTATGTAGCTACTAAAACACACGTCTTTGTAGGGCAGTGTAGTCCAGTGCGATGTTATACAGCTTAAAACCGCTTCTATTACCGATTCTTACACTCTTTTTTAAGTGTTGTCTTTATCTCTCCCTAGATCACTGTCTTCTCCCCCCCTGCATCATGTCTCGCCCAGTTGCCATCTACTGTCTCTTGTCTGCGTTGCTGTACATGTGGACGCTGTGCAACGCCCAGTCAGACTCTGGCAGCCCTGCAATCCAGCTACGTCTAGCCGGGGAGAAGAGGAAACACTACGAGGGCCGGGTGGAGGTTTTCTACAATGGAGAGTGGGGGACAGTGTGCGATGATGACTTCTCCATCTACGCTGCCCGAGTGGTGTGCAAAGAGCTCGGCTTTGTGGATGCCGAGTCCTGGTTGCCTTCAGCCAAATACGGAAAAGGAGAAGGTAAGAAAACTAGCATAGAGTTTTTCTTAGAAGTGTTGGTTTCCAGGATTTGATCTGAGCCTTGTGTTATCTAATCAAAACCCTCCAAAAATCGTCTCAGTCTTGTCAGTCGGCTGTCTAAAGAAGGGGCTGAGAGTTATATCTGAGCGAACTGCCAACCACACACGTTCAAAGGCAGTATATCTCTTCATGCAGTTTATACAGTTTCAGATGTTCCATGGAAATCCTTGAATGAGGTACACGTTTCCCCCCGTCTGACTGCTAATACCCTCAGGCACTGGTTTCCCCATTAGAGAACTGAGACTCGCCAATCAGTTCAGAGTATTGGGGGGGGGGCCGGCTGGAAACACTGGGTGTGTGAACCCGACACACACAGACATAATCTCATCTCCTCTCACTTTGCCGGGTATGAATTCCTCCATCACTGTAAAAACACTGATGAGATTCCCAACTCGGTAGCTGCTGGTGGTAAACGTCAGTTGGTAGGTGTTAATTAACTCAGTGTCCTTGTTAAAGGCACATGTTTCCCACTGGGCCAGCCACATCCAGCCAGCCACTTTAAAAGCAAAGTAATTAACTTGCTTCCCAAAGCACCACAGTCGTTATAGCAATTTCAAGAATCACATTCATGAAGTAATATATCCCATGCATATAATGTTGCATGTGTATTTGCAAGAAGCCGTTAACAAGCCGTTTGATGTATATGGCTGGGCACACAGACAACGGTTTGCGCTGCATTTTAGCAATGGCGTAAGTATATAAAGATGGGAGCCTTTGGGGTGGGGTTACTGTCCTACCACTGTTTCTGAAAGTTCACTAAAAGACACTTAAATATTGTGAAGTTGCAGTTTTTTTAACGATCTTTTCCCTTGCAAATAGATGTTTAGTGTGTACGAGTATTGGAGGCCCAGACTAGCTGTGTGCATGTGAGTGAATGGAAACTACTTTTATCTGTGTTTTCTTGTTGGTGGAGACACATGGCTATAAAAGTGATCAAGGGCATTTTCCATTTCCCATCATGATGACTTATGCACAATTGAAAGAAATCACTGAATGTTTTTAATTAAAGACATAACTACATAACAAGTATTAAGACATCCCTTTTGGATTCAGAGAGTTTTTTTTATCTGCAGGGACGTTCAAATCCAATCCTCAGCTGTGTTTACACCACTGTCATAAATATCAACGGTGCAACCAGCAAGCTGTCAATAGTTGCACCGGGGCCAATCACAGTTACGTTACGCATAATTGAAGATATTATTTGCAACTGTAAAAGGAATGTGTGCAATATCAGAATAGGGCTAAGGCTCGAAACAGGATCAACTGCACAAAACTGCTTTATTTCTGCTTTATATCTTTTTAGGAACACTGTGGTCTGTCCAGTTTGTTATGATTTTGGGTTAAGGCTATGTGGTTGGCTTAAAGTGCCAATAAAAGCTCACAATCAGAAAAATCATGGCTCCCTACACAGTGTGGCCCCTGCTCTTTTCACTGGCTTGTGAAATTACATTCCCATAAGGCCTGCGAATGATAGTTTTAACACAGCAATCCAGATTTATCACAACTGGCAAAGCTGAATATTTGTTTAGACAAAGGTGTACTGTAACTGGTTGTCCCTTGGAAACTCTGCTTCAGCTTCAGAGGACTTGGCTCCTGTAATGAAAATGTTCCAGAAGTAAGGATCTCCCTGCCAGGAGGAGGCTACGTGACCATATAACATGCAGTCACTTTCTTGGTATGATCAGGATGTTCCTCAGCAACATGTTGAGACTGTCAGAATGCTGAGCAGTCCGTTGGTGGTTTCTATGGCTACAGTTACGTGCACGGCTGAATCAGAACAGCCAGCTGTACAGCAGATGATCTGCTTCAACCGTGACAACATTTATTGGGCACGTTTTGCATGAAAGAATGCATCAGGTTATGTTGGAGACCAAACACGTCTCCACGTGAGTAGGTTTACTGTCTCTGTGACTAGACTGAAAAAGTCCCAAGGGTGTGACACATGGCTTAAGTTTTCAAGGTACAATGTTGTAACCTCCCCTCCATTTATATTTGCTCATTAATTAATTCCTTATTAAGGAAAATTACTTGGAAGTGAAAACATAACTATATATATATGAACGCTGATCAGCCATAACTTATAACCACCTGGTGGTCATAATGTTCTGCAGCCCCACACCAACAAACTGATGCACTGTGTGTTCTGACATGAAATGTTCACTTGCTGCCTAATATATCCCACCCACTGACAGGAGCCATGGTAACCAGATAATCAGTGTTATTCACGTCACCTGTCAGTGCTCATATCGGTGGCTTATCGGTGTATATATATTCACACACAGAAAGGAAGGTAACTTTAAACTGTTCAGCAGTCCAGGTTCTTTTTTTTATTGAGAAACAATTACTGGAAAGTCTCAAATTAAAGGTTAGGGGGAGAAAAAACCTTGAAAGGTATCCAAAGAGTACTAGCTTTGGAGTTCGGGCCCCTGGCAGTAGACAGTCATTGTGGTCTGTTCACCAACATCATCTGAGCACTGGGAGAAGTTCCAACTCCTGCTTATAAAAACAGTAGCACCTCCTATCCCAGGAAATAACAATTAGTATATCAATTAACTTGTAGCAGAATTTTATCCATTACTCAGTAGATAACTTTTAGAAGTTAACAGTGGAAAAACGTTATTAAACATGTTAAAAGAGTAAACTTTATCTCAAACTGTTCAAAATCAGCATATCCTCCAAACATCTCCCAAACCTCCCCCTCATCCATACCACACTTGGCACATTCCCCCAGGAACTTGACCATAAAAGGAGACCAAATGGGTAGAGACTGGTTTGACAGTGTCCAGACCAGATGATTGCCAAGTGCACTCTAGAGGAGAGGTGAGAAACACAAAAAAATAATCAAATAAAGATGTTAAAACCCCAATATTTTGTCAGGATTGTCAAGATCTCTTATATCTGTTTGACCGTGGAACTAATGCTCAACATAACACAACTGCAATTAACAGGTTACAACCCTTAAACAGAAACATTTTCTGCTGACTAATCAATCGACTAATCAATCAACTAATGGTTTCAGTTCTACAATGTACAACAGCAAAATACAATTTTACCATCATACAGGAAAAGACAAAGGATATATTATTGTATTGGCACTAAATATCCAAGTAAAACCAGCATGCTCATCGTCTTCATTCACTTAAAACTAAACAAAGCAACAACATGAGGTCTACTGCAAGACAATTACAACATATATCCATTTGCTTGCATCTTTGCCTGTCTCCGATCCAGGCCGTATCTGGCTAGACAATGTGCACTGCACTGGTGGAGAGAAGAGCCTGGCTCACTGTCAGTCCAATGGCTTTGGAGTGTCTGACTGCAAACATTCAGAAGATGTCGGAGTGGTGTGCACCCAGAAGCGCATTCCAGGCTTCAAGTTCATCCGGAACCAGGCCAACAGCGAGGAGGTAGGTTCCCATGGAGCAACACGCTCACAGTTAAACCTGCACACATGTACAGTACACTTAAAGTCAACACGTCTGTGCCTTTACACACATGTAAACACCTGGGTGGGATCACTTGATCACATAATTAATAAAACTCCAGTAGCATCCACACATGGTTCAAGTACACGCTTGTACCCTGAACAGATGCTCAGCACAATAACAAAAAGAAACAGAGGGTAGGCTTAAGATGAAAGAAGATCATAGTGCATTGCTCCAAGTTGCTACAAGAGAGGTTTTTTTTTTTTTAAATCCGTCCAACTTTCCAGACTGATCCAGACGGATCAGTGGATTGAATGTAATGCCTGTCTGTAGGTATTAAGAGGAGCAATATTTTTCAGTCTTTAGATTGTGTTGAAAATGATGTGCTGAAATATCCATCATCCATTTATCTCTTTGATTGACTGAATAACTTTCACATCTCCAAACCTGACCATTGAGAAAAATATGCATACAGCGTGGGTTGCATCAGCTATTTGTAAATGTGTCACTAAGTTTGTTTCAAAGTAGTGGTTTAATAAACCGGGTTGAACCATTAAAACGTAAGCTAGTAAAGACTTTAGTAATGCGTAAATCAGTTGCTTAAAAAACATCTGTAGCACTGTCTGATCAGAAACAATCATGAAAACAGGATATATGCATACATGAAGAAGTTTGTTTGTGCAGAAATATGGTAACTAACTTTATTAGGTCATTTAGCCTAATGCTACTGGCCAGATGTTTTGGAATATAAGGGATAATTCAAAATGTTCTAGTCATTTTCAAACAGCATTTTAATAGTCAGGTCAGATACATCTCCCTTTACCTCCTTGTTAATATGTTATCAAGCTAATTTAGTGATGCACAAATCTCTACTAAGTAACCACTTGCATTATAACGAGTGCTAAGTTAATAAGACCCTACAAACAGCTGTTGCAGCCACCTCCAGCATTTTGTCCTCCGTATGATTAAATGGATACAACTAGTAATCAAAATAATGGTCTAATGGGTACTAAATCAGTATGTCTGGAAAAAATTAGACCGCAGTTCTTCCGTGTAGGTAGTCACATCTGCCATGACATGAAGCCAGTGAAATAATCCACAAGTCAGTGCATATTGTAGAGCCGTCCACTCCACCACTTGCACTAATGACTTTGCCAGGCTGCTATTAGCCTATCCCTGCCCACACTAGACCCCCACTCTGCAGCCTGAGAGATTTTGGAGATGACTCAGAGAGGAGGAAGACCATCCTGTCTGGCTCCAGAGAACGCCTTGTGTACCGGATGGAAAGTCAGTGTTGGTTTGTTGACGTGTCGGGAGAAAGGGAGGAAGAGAAGCTCGTCAGATAACAAGTTATTACAATAAACTGCCATAGAGGGTTTCCCTTCTAAAACCAGACTGATAGAGATTAAACAAATTTGCTTTGGCAGCTTAGAAGACAGTCGATGCTTTAACAGTCTGTGACTACATTTAGAGTGTTCTGTTTGTTCATACTAGAAGTCAGCTGGGAGATTTGGCCGGGTTACAACAGCAAGAACAGTGACTGTGTTTTACTGGATTCAGTTAAGACATCCCGCCTGAGGAGAGCATCTGAAATCCCCATGTGCCTTGTTCTCATTCCTAGTTGAGTCATGGTAATGGAGGAATAGACGAGAGGAGAAATTGAAATCATGGACTGCTGAGTGTACAACGTTCTTATTTTTGCTGGTTGTGTATGTAAGCAGCACCCTTGTGCTCCCTGTTTGTCTTGTGTATTTACGGTCTCTGGGGTGTTACTGCAGTTCAGTCCCACCCTGTAAATATTTCCTCGGCCCAGCCTTTCAAGTCGCAGGGGAGAGGAATGGGAAAAGGTGTAGCTACACCTCTTTAACCATGCTTGGGCTGACGTCAGCAATGGGCAGCACTGTTCCTTCAACCTGTTTATTCACAGCATGAATTGACATTTTGTGCTCAATCTGGAACGTTAACACCCTAACCGAGTGTGCGCTACAGTCCAAGTAGAGGTTATTGCGAAAAGGGTGGCCAATCAGTAATTTTGCTTCTGTGTGAATGCTTTCCAACTTTCAAGATGATATATGTTTGAAGTATGAAGAGTACAGTTCACAGTGCGTTTTCTGTACTTTAGGCCCTTTAGTCTGTTCATGTTGATATAACTGAAGCGAAGATTCTGAATTTGAGGTACAGAATTTAGATGACCAGCAATTTCTTATGGTGTTGAGATGTTTTTCAGTACTGTATTTCAGGGTAAATCTACAGGTTACAAAGTTGCTCCGAACTACAATTATTTTGTTTTTGTGAGGGACACATCATGAGACTACTTTACAGCATATGGGAATATGCGAAGATAGACCTGAACAGCTCACCCTGGCAAGTTCAGTTTTGACCACAAATAATAGTCTACTGAAGACATGAGTCTGTCATTAATGAAAACAGCAGCTTCCACTGGCACGAGTTGCAATCGAAGACATGCTACAGTATAACCAGAACTAATAGTGCGATATCAAGTTTTGCTGAGAATCTAATCTCAGTGTGTGTTTCTCAGACAGTCAAAGCTCTTGTCAGAACCGTCATTTTAACCTCTGAACTGTTACTTTGTTCCACTAACGTCAGCCTTTAATGCTGTCTGCTACTGATCTGTCCTCTGAAGACGAAAGCCAGGTCTTTACCTTTCTCAGCTAGTTATGCAATAATCCAACAAAAGAACATACATTCCTGTATGACTGAATCATTGTCATGAATAATGTTAATGTTTTAACATGCAGAATCGAATGCTGTACACCACTGCAACAACCCTCCCTTGAGTCTTGTATGTGTCTGTTTTATTTATTAGCATATGTTTGTGTGTGGCAGCGGGAGGAGATTATGACAGATGAAGTCCTTTATTCTGTAGGGGACGGGGATTACATTTGTCAGCAGAACCAAACACTGACATGGCAGGAAACTTTGTTTATCATCTGCTAGTGGGGACTTTTCAACCATGTTTGGTTTTTGTTCACGTGTGAAAGGCACGCTACACGTGTCATTTGTGTCGACAGAATCATTGCTAAATACTTCTCCTTCATTAGAAGATGTCTGGAATTTCAGGGATGAGAAACAAATGAGCGCCAAAAGCAGCTGCAGTTGCCCACCACATCACATTGTGTGTTCGCTTTAACCAAACACTTATATCCAGAATCAACACAAGACGTCAGCGGCCAGTTGTAATAACAGAATGCGGTAGTTAAAAGCCTTTTGATTCTTTGTACATCTAAACAGGGCAAAGGTTGCACTTCTCATTTAGGCGCGACGGTGTCTGCTTACAAGAATTTCAGTTCCTCGCATTCACTGCTAAACAACAAAAGGAAACCCGAGCCAAAGTTGGATTCGCCTCCAACATGATGTATGCAAGAGGCTTGTGAGGAGGAGAGTGATCGAGGGGAGAAAAGGTTGATGTCAGGAGGCTGCATAGTGGATCCACCACATGTTTAACAGCTGGATCCCGCTGTGGTTCTCCTTTGGGCTGCAGAGTGCCCAAAGTGTAAACTCTGCACTTTATGATTTACCATTTTCATTTTGTGCTGACTCATTATGTGCAGCGCACATATGCACCAAGACTAAAGTTTTGGATATTACACAATTTAAGCTATTTAGATCTAAGGTAAAGGTGCCTGTGAGTCACCTGACTCATGAGAGAAATGTTGCTATAATTCTATATTTATATACTTTTAGTGCCGTAAAGAGCCAGTTCAATTTTGTGTACAGTGATATTAAAGCATTTCAATAGAAACCATTAAAACTTCAAGGATCAAATAATCGATAATTAAGTTTGACTTTTTGTAAGTAATTTGCTTTCTTGCTGGGAGTTAGATGAGAAGATTGATTCCACTTCATGTTAGCATAGAAGCTGGAATGGGGAAACAGCTAGCCTTGCTCTGTCCAAAGGTAACAAAATGTGTTAACTAGAACCTCTAAAGCTCACTAATGAAAAATAATGTTATATCTTGGTGTTTAATCCATACTATTACTAGTAATAGTGTAAAAGCGGATTTTATGGGGGATTGTGTGAGGTGGTCCTTGAGGTGACACGATTCCAGGAAGTAACTGTGTTTGGTCAAAAATATTCTGGCATGAACCCCCTGTGAAACTAAATTGTTGTTTCTGTGTTTGTAAAGATTAAACAAATAAGATACAATAATTTAGTTTTTCACCCTTGGATGGAGCCAGACTAGCTGTTCCCTCCTGGTTCCAGTCTTTATGCTAATCTAAGCTAACAATCTCCTGGCAGCAGCTTCACATAGCATAGCCCTTTCCCATACACATGTGCTGGCTTGGCTTGACTCGCTTCGACTCAGCACATCAGCCCAGCACGGCAGGGATTTACATCTCCATTGCAACAGGACTACCTGCTTGAAAGTGTGTCTTTAAAGGCAGAGAGAGCAGCGACGGTGGAGAGATCTCAAGATTGAATGAAGAGAGGGAAATGTGTAGCGAGAACAAAGTTAAAATAAATAATAAATGAAACGTTATTTTCTGATTGGTTACGTTCTAGAGCACAAATAAACATGGCCGCCTTCCTCCCTGCAGTGTGTAAACTTGTTTTTTTGTTTTTTTTGGAATAGCTGCTAACTATGCTCCACAGCCAAATCAGGAAGTGTTTGGTTTTCATCAGCAGTAACTTAACACGACTGATACAGCTGAAAGCAAACATGAAACAGATATCTGAAAGTACAAACAGGGACGGAGGAGAAAAACTAAATTTCAGACCCCAGAGATTCAGTTAGAAGCTAGAAAAGCACTGAGAGCTGAACACTCAGAGATTTTAAGAACATCTGTCTCTCTGTTCTCCTGTAAAGACATGAGTTGAATCTCAGAACAAACACTTGTTTGAGGGGGGGAATGCGGATTGTCACAGGTCGTCCGCAGACGGCGAGATGTCACTGCAACCTGCTTGAAGGTTGGTCGTGCTTTGGCCTGACTCCGGAGATGGTCCATCTCGGACGCGGCTTGGCACAGCTTGGCACATTTAAACGGGTAATGGAAACCCAAATCACTGGTTTGACAAAGGCCTATGAAAGGGCAAACTCATCCAAATCTAAGCAAGAAAATGACATTTTCCAAACCATCAAACTATTCCTTTAATACGAGCAATTTGCAATAAATATTGATTTTGAAACAGGTAATGATTAATCTGTATAGTATGACCATTTCCAACACAGGCAAGTCCGGCTAACCAATTCTGAAATATTGTCCATTTAAACATATCTACACTGAATTTAACCCCAGTTTGAGATGAGGTGTGTGTACTGTGTGCTCTTACAGTCTACCCTCATAGAGTAATGATTCTTTTCCTTTCATTGCCATGCATGGCAGACAGTACACCTCACTGAATAGATATTCCAGACTGCAAAAGCACGCACCCACACACACACACACTCTACACACACACACATGGGTCACCAATGAGGCCAGTAAGTGGGGTGGGGCAGACTGTGACCGTCATTTCAAAGAGCCTTGCTCGTTCTATTCAACACTCGTGGATGAGGGTGGCTGGGATCTGGGCGCACGTGGTAAGATTAACGTGTGGCAAATGTGGAAAAGCTGAATAAAGTGATAGAAATGCACAAGTAGTGGAAGCCGATTAGTCAGGAGACTCGGCTGGACCAAAGTCTCATGTTCACACATCTACAGAGGGGGACCCAGTCAGAAAAACACGTCTGCTCTCCAGTCGGAAATAGTTCAGTGGTCAAAGCTCACTTCAGAGACTAGTAATGAGTACAGCTAAATGAGGAATGTTTTTCTTTTTCTGTAACTTGTTCCTTACAAACAACCAAGAATATGTGACTTTATTTGAGAAATATTGCGTTAAACATTTATTTTGACAAATAGGTAATGATTAATGTGTAAATATGTACAGTCATGCTGTAGACAAGTCCAAAANNGAATGAATCACTACAGTACCACGGTAAGGGAGTAAGTGAGGGAGTGAAGATGAGGCAACAATAGAAATGTCCATTTGAGAATTAGCCTCAGTATGACCTACAGAATGGAAAGCCTGCGCTCATTTCATACCTCAGTCACACATCTAGGCTGGTCCGGTTGCCAAAATGCCGAGAGTTAGATGAGAAAATTGATACCACTCTGATGTCTGTGCACTAAATATGAAGCTACTGTACTGTACTGCAGCCACTAAGCTTAGCATTAAGGTAGAAGGCCTGGTCAGAACGAGTTGCTTTACTTTTTAGTTTTTGTATGGATTTAACGAACAAGATCTTACCTGTTAATTAGTGAACTTTACTGTTGGTGCTGGTAGGTGGATTTGGTCATCTTTGACAGAGCCAAGCTAGCGTTCCCCACTGCTTTCCACTGCTTTCCACTGCCTTATGCTAAGCTAAGATAACTGACTGCTAGTGGTTGCTTCTTATTTACCCTACAGATATGAGTGGTAGAATTTCCAGATTTCCAATTTGACATTTGAAAAATATATAATATTATATGTATATTAGAAAATTTCACAGCTTTTTAACCATAGAATGTGAAAAAAATATCCTTTAGGGTCCTTGTTCTTTATGCTTAGCACCCTTTTTCCAGCATTTCTTTCGACAGGGTGCTAAAAAAACTGACCAGTGTGTAGATTTGGACCTTGGCCAAACAATATTATGCTGAGTTTATGTCTGGTGGTCTGGGTTTGAGAGGGGGAAACGCCTGGACTGATCCCAGCTGTGGGTGTGCTCTTCTCTTTAGTCTCGAACGTTCAGACGGCCAGTTTCCTCTCTATGTGCCAAATGCAACACTGGTCAGACCCATCTCAGCGCCCCATTTCAAACTCACCTCGTACCCCCTGTCCTGTCTGGTATTTTTTTCTTCACACCTGGCTTCACTTTGATTACTCACATTTTCCGTTTGATTCCATGTTCTGTGTCAAATGTACTTCAGTTAAGCCATTTATGAGTATAGTTTTTACATGCCTTCCTTGTTTCATTTTGTTGTTAATGTTTTCAATTAGCTTCATGTTTCTATAACATAATTAATCATCTCTACATCATTCTCAACTTGCTTTTACTGAAGCAAAGTAAACCAAAGCACTAAGATAGCTTTTAAATTTGAGACCCCCGGATCCTTGATCAAGATCACGTCTCCTCACCTTCCCATCCTGCCAGGCACCGACGGAAAACACTCTGTCATGCTATGGCCAGCAGGAATCTCTCCATGAAAGAGTGGCTCTTACCCACTCTAACCAGTGCGGTCAGTGGGAGGACTGGGGTCACTGTAGAAACAGTCTGACTTAGTCGGGGCTCCTCCTGCATTGCAGTCTTTAGTGTGTAGAGACTCTGAAACCTTTTCCCATTCACATTCCTTCAGGCTGACGCCATCTCAGGAAACCACCCTGTGGGCAAACGTTTAATATTTCTGGGAGACATGCCTGGCTGTTGGTTTTTTGCAGAGTTAAAGAAGCAGGCTGTTACGAAATTACTGAGATCAGCATTTGCATACCACAGAGCAGCTCAGAGTTCTGTCTCTTTTAGGCACCCACAGTGCAGCCTCACACCCAGCCAGGAACAAACTGCAGAACTTGGCCCAAGGAGGCAATTGAACAATGGCGTTTGGAGTTATTAGGTAGCTGTTTTCCCATAAAGCCCTGGAGGTCAAAGGTTACTATTCCATCCTGGTTTAAGGGAGCTTCATATTAATTGTGGTTGGTGACCCCCAGTTTGACCAACTGGCTTTACAGCCCTTTATAGAAGACTGTGGACCACCCGCAGACACACTCCCAACCTGAACTCTGTCACTGCAGCTTCTATCTTTATTATATAGTGTTTTAAAATCTTGATTTATAATCGTAATTACACATTTTTCTTTTTTAACTTCTCTTATCAGTGCTCATCATTTTATGGTCAGCCAAGAATTCCAGGATACTAGGTGAGAAGTCTTTGAAGAGACATTTGGCCCAGATTTCTTCCACACTCCCCTGTAGGGGAAAGACTGATGTTTCTCATTTTGTTCTCTACTGGTTCGTTTCAGCTTATCTCACTATCTCTCTATAGCACGAATAACGACACAGATATAATTCATGTCATATGTGAATATCCAGTAACTTCATCAAATAGTGAATTAATATTTATTCTCCTTTTCTGGGGGAAACCCAAACACTGTTAGCTGGTTTTGACAGAGCTATGCTGTCATGTTTGATGTATGTTCTCCACCAACTTGCTATGGGTCCATACATCTCAGCTCTAAACTTTAAAGACTCAAAAAAGATGGAAGAAAAATTCCAGACATTCATTGGACCTCCTAAGGCCTTTCAGCAACACTTAACAAGTTTAAACAAAGATTTCATTGTCAGATTTTTCAGCTTGCTTGTTTTCAAGCATGCATACAAACTAAAAGGCCACAGGGCGATTTTCTTTTTTTTTTCTGAAACACTTCTCTCTGAGTATGAACTTCCTTTGTGACTCATATGCTGTATTGTATTTACAATATATCAAGTGAAACAGTACATGTGTAGTCTACAGTAGAAGTAAAACCAACTACATCCTCTAAATAACATTCTTGTCAGACAGCTCGAATTCATTTAAGCTTATGTTCACGTCACCAATTATATAACCACGTTTATAAAGCAATGACTCAGTGTCAGTATAGTTTATGGAAAAGTCAAAGTAGATTTCAGTAAGTTGAATGAAATGTAGCGCTGCAAGGAAATAGGATTTAGAATGAATTTTAAAACTAAAAAAAGTATTTTTTTGCACAATATCTTGAACTTTCATGGAAATCAGTCCAATAGATGTAGAGTTGGGAGATCAGGTATTTGACAAGTGGTTGACTGATGCTGGTATCTGAAGTAATGAATAACAGTTAAAGTAACCCTAAAGACTGGAATATTTTGTTGAATGAAAATTGTGTAATACTCTAACATCTACTTCCATCTACTTTCTGTACAATATCTGTAAGGTGTAAGGCGGTGATGAAACATTTCCTCTGCTGTGTTTCTCAGGGTTTGACTGTGCAGGTGGAGGATGTGAGGATCAGGGCCACTTACTCTCACAGGAAAAGGATTCCCATCACTGATGGCTTTTTGGAGGTGAAAGACGGAGGCAAGTGGAGACAAATCTGCAATGAGGAGTGGACAGAGATGAACAGCAGGGTCATCTGTGGCATGTACGGGTTCCCCGGGGAGAAACGCGTAAATACCCGACCCTACAAGTGAGTAATGGTCGGGGGCCAGCAGCAAGGTTTAAATAAGGCTAATTACAAATGATGAAAGTCTTCACATGAATTGGAGTTACTGTTTAGGTTATGAGAATATAGCAGGGATACATAATGAATCATTTTAAAGTCACACCTGTGTAATCACCCTGTGTTATCATTTGAGATACACCACACATTCCTGTATGATACAAACACTTTATTTTACTTTTTTTTAAATTTCCTGGCAGGTTTTATAACTCCTTTTTACCTGTTCTTTTAGTCCATTAAGAAATGTTGTACCATACCAAACTGATGTTAGGAAAGGTTACATAATGACGTTTGTTTACACTAGACATGACTCAACCCCTCATCCATTTCGGACACTGAGATTAAACAGACTTGAGCCTACAGATTCTTGACAAGAGGCCAAACACCGCCAGAGGAAGTTTTAGAGGATGAAGGATGGGTCTTGCTGGGAAACGACTGAGTGCAATACACTGTGAAACAGTGGCTCTTTTGGCTGCATCTAATTATTTCCCTTTGAGCATGACTGTTAACATGCTGCCCTTCTTAAATGTCAATGTGTAGCCTAACACAAAGCCAGCTATTTCCTAGACCACTTTGTGTCTTATAATTCTTATCTGCTAAGAAGGGAACTGAAGTTCAAAACACAACAGCTGCTTACTGCACATGAGCAAATAAGCACGTGAACACATCTCCTGATCTGGTAACTGCATGAAAGAGAACAACATGTTTATCTCTTAAACAGCTCAGCCTGAGGTAGAAATCCAAGAATCAAACCTTTTTTTAGAATTCAATGTGGCTACCTGCCCTTCCAGAAGAACATAACTCGATTGGTTTGGTATTCAGTACATGTCCACACATACAATGGGCCTATTAGCCTAATCCATTCATGATGCACATCCAGTCTGCAGTTTAATGAAAGGCTCACAGAACCACAGTCCAACCACAGTCAAATTAAGACCAGAGAGACATCACAAATACATTTATTCTGAAATACTGTGACTCAACGGGATGATCATGTATGATGTGGTCAGAGCTGCACCTGGATCTTCACATTACTGTTTCTGGCTTTGGGTAGCAAATGTTTACAATAAACTAAGATAAAATCAAAACATGTTTCTATTTTTATAGCTCTGGTAGACATGATCTCATCTGATTAGATGCAAATCTTTCATATGGATGCATTTTAACTGAAGGAAGAATAAGAAGCATCAAACCAGCAAAGAACACTTGGTGTTTTTGTCTATCACTTAAGATCCCAAAGTGTGTGGTTTTACAGCGTGTGATGCTGCCGTGCTCTCACATGGTTCATTGTTTTATGGGGTTGAAAGATCACATTCAATCTGTCTTTTATCTGGAACAACACAGGACTGTTCCCATCACCAAATGTGCCGATAACAGTCTAACAAAATTAAAAACTCTCAATCAAATTTGGCACATCAAATTTCACGGACCACAAATTATCTTTGTATTCAAACCGAGTTGGAGGTACACTCTGTTTACAGCATCTGCATAAGCTGTAAGAACCGAACAGCTGTAAATGTAGCTCATGCTGGTTTCATTACATGGTCTGCTTCTTCCAAGGCCCGGACCTGCTTCAAGGTCCACTGTTGTAGCGTTCCTCAATGACCCTTAGTTGATGACTTCCATTCAAGCATGGGGGTCATGAGAATGTTAAGGTGCTCTCACAACAATACTCCCATTGTGCTTCTCAGCATAGGATGGGCATTGTTGAATTCCTCACTAAATACCTAAAATTCCCTCTTCCCATAAAACAGCTCCTTAATATTTTAGTCAAGTGTGGGAAAGAATGGTATTGTGGTCTTCTACATGAAACAATTTTAAGGTTATTTTCATACCATGGTATGAAAATCATTTTTTAAAGAAACATGAGATAGAAAGTCCTTCACGTCCATGTGTCACCATTGTTAGGTTATCCAATTGGTAACAGACTGTTTTGAAAGCTCTTCTTTGCTGTTGTATGATGTCTCTTGACATCTGAATCCTAAGGGTACATGCGGCTCAGCGGGTGATGATTAAGTGATCGATGTCAGTCTCACTTGAACGCACCAAGTGGAACACTTCAAAACAGTCTTTGCAACAGCATTACCTTGTAACAATTATATAACATAAAATAACAAAAAAGACTGAGTACATGTTCAACGTGATGGATTGCCTTTTTGAAGCAGGTCTCAAGTCTGCAGGTTTTGGCATGACCTGACAACCACGAGTACTGGAAAAGTTGGATAAATGTTGACATTCCTCATTTATAAATCTAAAAAAAACAATGACACGCTTTCTAAATTGGTTGGCAGTGATGTTAACGTAACAAATGAACAGAAAAAGAAGACAGTATAATTTTTATATTTTTCTAATATTATTATTGTGTTTTTCTCTCTCAGACTGCTGGCCAAACGCCGTAAGAAGAACTACTGGGGTTTCTCCGTCAACTGCACCGGCAACGAGGCCGACCTGTCTGATTGTAAGATGGGCCGAGAGATAGAGCTGAAGGGCAACCACACCTGTGAGAAGGGCATGCCTGTTGTGGTCAGCTGTGTGCCTGGACGTGCCTTTGCCCCCAGCGTCAGCGCCGGCTTCAGGAAGGCCTACAGGGTGGAGGTAGGTCAGACTGTGCACGCTTGGCTGCACAGGGGAACAGTGGTTAGCTCTGTCGCTTCACAGCAAGAAACTGAGCTCTCGTCCTTTCTGTGTTGCAGTGGACAATAGGGATCAACTGTTTATGTGCAGAACCTCAAGTTACTGGCTGTACAGTGAATGTATAGGATTCTCTCTTGATGGCATTGCTGAACAACTTCCTTACTTATTGCAACAGTGCATACTAAAATAATAAAACAGAGAGGAAACTGTGTCCTGTGTGAATGCAGGCAAAGAAAAGCAGTCAAGATCAGTAATTGCACTGGATTTTGGTGATTTTGTTAGACGGAGCAGAATCAGATGCATGGAAAAACTGAGTGTTTTTCATAAGGGAGAAAACAGTCATCAACATTCTGTTCAGAACAAACCCATCTGGAGGAGTGAGCCTTCCCTTCTGGGGGAACAACTAAAAACAACAAAATATCAACAGGCTCCCCGAGACTAACCATACGGCTGGTATTAGTTTCACACACTGCAGATGTTTGTGACATTTCTTATATAGCTTTTTGAAAATGACTTCTGAATTAGGCTCTTCAATTAATTACATGCAAAAGAAACATACATCTGATTTTATAATTTGTTGTTGTTTGTGCATTATTATTTATTATAAGAAGCCAAATATTTTTAATGTACGTCCAGAGAGAGTTCAGTAATCACATGATACACAGTCCTATAATGAAGTCCTGATATATCCTGATATATGAGTCCAGCACTGGATTGCAACATTTCCTGCTTATTAATCAAGCATCTGGAAACAGTTAAACATCTGTCATGTATACAATTCAATTATCAGTATTTCAGCTTGGTTATTACCAAGGTAACACCTATTTTCTCTCGAGCCCGCAAAACAAGGAACAATTGTAATCAAATTTAGACCAAATAAAGCCAAGAAAGTCACAAGTCAAGTTAATTAAAACTTTTTCCATTGCTGTAGAATAATAATAATTGTTCTCTGTAACAGTTTCACTCATTTAAATTTTTTGTTGGACTGTTTCCGTAGCAACCCTTGGTGCGTCTAAGAGGCGGAGCTATGATTGGTGAGGGGCGAGTGGAGGTGTTGAAGAACGGGGAGTGGGGGACAGTGTGTGACGACAACTGGAACATTCGAGCTGCCACTGTGGTCTGTCGAGAACTTGGGTTCGGAAGCGCCAAAGAGGCCTTAACTGGCGCCCGACTGGGACAAGGTATGACTCTACAGATTGGTCACTCTATAACATAGTACTACTGTATACGGTGGTACACTTATATGGAGTGTGAAGTGTGCTGAAATAATAATAGTTTAAAAAAAAAACTCAAGTAAAAAACATTCTTGTGGGAGTGGGGAGTCATACAAATCATCATTTAAATGCACATTGATTGATTTATCATATAATTCTCATTATACACATTATTACTCCATACACTGGAACACTGGAGACCACAGTCCCAAATCTCACCTGTGGAGATAAACTGTAACATTTCTTCCACACATTTAGGGATCATACTGTTCACATGTTTGTAGCTTTGATGACGTTTTACAGCACTCACTAAAATCACTATCACTCAACAAAATTCAAAGCAGAACTCAAAGCAGAACTTCCCAGCTGTGAAAATGAAAGGTGTGGACTGTAACCGGAGACCTCCACCTCCGCCTTATCTTTGGCTTTTGTATCGCCACCTGTTTTTGTCCCACTTCAATCAGTCTAGACCTCAAGTCAGCATAAAAAAGGCACAGGGGAATGTATGGAGTAGCACATTAATGTTTATACCTTGACCCAGAGCCTGATAGTGTGAAATACAACATACCACAGCATTATAAGAATCATATGTGCATTAAACAGTTGTCTACTCCTCTGCCTTGTTCTTATTCTCACAGCAAAACACAAGAGCGCACAAAATGTTCCAGCAGAGAAAACAGCCTTTATGGGTTTCAGAGGAGGAATTCTTTGTTGGAGAGTGTGCAAGGTTATTTGAGGGATTTCTTTATGAGCTGACCACTCGATCCAAAAATGGTGCCACACATAGACTGTAGACCTTAAATAGCTGATTGTGTTTGTTTTTAGAAGTCACTGAAGTTGACGAAAAAAGAATGTCAATAAAACTGAAAAAGTACTAAGTGATTCCCGGATTTGTGTGGGAGTTTTTAGGTATAGTTCTTATACAATTTCTGTATTTCTAGAAGTTTAATTTGTATATGTTTCACTCATTTTCAGCTGATAGAAAGTTACAAACTAATGTTGAGAGTTTTGCTTGACCCATGGCCCATGATTTTTTGTGTCATGCATTTGAATTTGAGGTAAGATAACATATTTAATTTATTCAATCTATTATTTATGTGTCATACCAGGATATTGACTGTGTGATTACAGCAGCATTGTGTTCTTGCTGTTGTGAATTTATTTTCCTCCATCGGCTGCCCGTCTGTCTCAGCCTCTGGCTGTAGTTTCAGAGCTGGCATCACTAGAGACATTCCTGGTCAGTCACATGGGAACAAAATCAGCGTGGAGGGAGTACTCACACATGTTATTGTGGAAACTCCGCTACACTGAGATGACTGAGAAAAGTTGCAAAGAGAAAATTTTTAGTTTTTTACAGGCCACAAGTGTCTCATTTCATTTGACATAGCTGACTGCTGGTTTCCTTTCCGCTGTAGTTCTAGGGAACAGGACTTCTTACATCTGTCTTAAGAAGGACTTGTTGTTCTAGCAAAACACTAGAGCAGCTACTGCTGTTGTACTCTGGAATAATGGGCAGTACAAATCATTGTGTAACTCAAAGATCGGCTTTCTCCTTTCCAGTAATGGAAATCGATGACAGATTATTTTCTGTAGTGCTCCACCTGTTTGTCCAATTTTTACTCACAGTAAGTTTAGTCATAAGTTCAACAGAATGACAATTACACATTTTGTGTGCGCCTGATGTGTTTTCCTGTAGGGATGGGGCCAGTCCACATGAATGAGGTGGAGTGCTCTGGGTTTGAAAAGTCACTGACTGAGTGCTACTTCAACCGTGACGCTCTGGGCTGCAGCCACGAGGAGGACGCAGCAGTCAGGTGTAATGTTCCTGCCATGGGCTTCAACAAGAGAGTGAGTACCGCTGTCTAAAGTACACAAAGAAATAAAGATTTGTGTAGAACTGGAGGACACATCTGTCTATCTCTGTCCTCAGCTTCGGTTAAGTGGCGGCCGTAATCCCTATGAGGGTCGTGTGGAGGTGCTGGCAGAGAGGAACGGCTCTCTGGTGTGGGGCACAGTGTGCAGTGACAGCTGGGGGACCATGGAGGCCATGGTAGTGTGCAGACAGCTTGGCCTGGGCTTTGCCAGCCATGCTTTCCAGGTAAGATCTCTGGAGTAAATGTTGCTCTCCACATCTCCTTCCAATAAATCATTTTTAAGATGAGCTTATCTTTTTAGCAGGTTTTCAGCATAAAGGAGGTGGTTTATTTTGGGCTCTGACATATCGCTGACACTCCTAACTGGACTTTCCATCATTTATGCTATCATTCAAGTTTATGGGCAATTTCACTCAGTTTAAAATGAAATGTTAAACTACATCAAGGCTTATCTTGAATGTGTGGAAATACACGGACAGGCACTAAACGCTTTTATACAGGCCAGCTTGCACAATAGTAATAAACATAGCAATAAACTATATGCACAGTTTATTCTATGCTGTACAGAATTTCCATCATGGATCTTAAGATTTTTGTACAGTATTGTTTTGTCCTACAGATTACAGTTATTTTCAATTTCAATGTCACGTTTAAAATATATTTACCTACAGCACCAGGTTAAATTGGTGAAATGGAAAGGAATATCCACACAGTGGAAGCTGTCTGTTGTGCAGAGGGGGTCGGTCTGCACCTCAGGCCAGGTCTTGCCTCTGCTTTTTGAGCTTGGCTTTCCTCACATTATAGTGCCATCGTTATTTAGGGTAATAGCTTGGATAGAAAACCAATGTTATTAGATAGATTAGATAGAGAGGGACTTTAGTTTGAGAGTGCAGGAGATGAAATGCAAGTTCCAGCCGTGTATAATACGGACGAGATGAAGCCAGTCTGGCAGTACTACGTATTATAATGTCTCTGTGTGTGAGCGTGTCAGTGGAAACCATTAACTCTCACTCTAACAAGCTTGAACTTTATTGATCCCAGAGGGCACAATAAAGATGTCACTGTCTTACAAACATCAAAAACACACAGTCAGTGAAGAGAGCGGGTCAGGGATGGTAAACCTGTGACACAGATGATGGGGAAAGCCTTCGTTTGCTGTTTGAAGTTTAGTGGAGCTTTCCACCCCTAAAGCCCCTGGCATGACTTGGCAGCGTCAGTCCTGTCCTGCTTACGTTTACCTCCTGTTTTTAACCCCAGTGCTCCTTTTATGTCATTAGGTAAGAGGCTGGTAAAGTTAAAGACCCCCCTTGTGTTCTTTATACATTTCTATTTTAAGGCTGAACCCAGTGTGTTATTTGTGGTTAAAGATGATATAGGTCTGGAAAGTATGTGTGAATCATGGGGATGTGCGTTGATAACAGCAGGGAGTTTTATGAGGGGAACTTGGACAGGATCCGTTGGAGGCGGTTCAGTTCCCTAAAGTTTGTTTGTGACAAATATGTGCAATGTACTTCTAATGGAGCAGCACGTAAACATGTCCTCATGTGTTTGTAGTCACTGTTTGAGCACTCGCCCTTTACTCAAGTACACTTCAACATTGCACTTTTTGAACCAGTGGGAAATAAAGTGTCTACTTTCATTACAAGTAGACATTTCACTTTTCTCTGCCACATCAAATAATCAGATCAGGGAATTATAAGAACACGTCCCTTTGTCCACATATTCTCATGTTAACAAAAGGTTTAGGAGTAATACATGTCTGCTCTTTGTTATCACGGTAGAGCTAGAGACTCTTTCCTGTCTGACTTTTAAATACTTCTGCAGGCAAACCCCACCACCAGATGGAACAAATGACACAGAGCTTAAACTATACTGCTGTATGTCTGTCCACCTCAACCCACCAGCAAGTATTCCCACATCCATATCCCTCAGCTCAGTTTATTTCTCATGAATCCTCCGTGAAAGATGACGGAAAGTATGAGGGTTTTTTTTCACAGGTCATGTCCTGTGGTCTGCAAAATGCTGTAATAAGGCTGAGTCAGGACTCTGAGGACAACAGGGCACCCCTTGCTACGTGTGTGATGTGTAATAGACTCTTTGATTAGATTTGTCTTGTGGGACGACTGGGATAACTATGTACAGGAGGAAAATTAAGATAAAGTTCCTGCTTAAAACATTCCCACACAATCTCCTAAACAGTTTGAGCAACGTGATCTTTAGCCACTTGATTGTAGCTAACTCTGCCATGAATGGATGGATCTATGTAGCAGAGCTGTAGACTTAAGACTTTGAACTCAGTCAGATATAAAAACTCTAACTCTCATGTTAAATAATGATAAATATGAAGTTACAGCCATCAGCCAGTTAGCATAGCTTAGCACAAATACTGGAAACAGGTTGTGTCAGGTTACACTGCAGTTATTGCACGGGTTAAATGGATGAGATATTTTAATTAGCAAGCTTTATAGAGGTAATGTTATGCTAAGCTAAGCTAAGCAGCCGCTGGTTCTATATTTACCATTTAGACATGAGAGTGGTATCAATCTTCTTATTTAACTCTCAAGAAGGAGAATAACTATTTCCCAAAATATTGAGTTCCCTTAAGGTACAAAAATGAGGACATGAGTCTAACCCTGAGTGATCTTCATTTTATCAGGAAACATACTACTGGCAAGGAGATGCCTCAGCTGATGCAGTCATGATGAGTGGAGTCAGATGTTCAGGGACTGAGCTCACTCTGGATCAGTGTCTACATCACGGGAAACACATTGAGTGTCCCAAAGGAGGTGGACGCTTCGCTGCTGGGGTCTCTTGTACTCAGAGTAAGAAACTGTGCAATACAAATACTTTATACATTCAGAATCTTACAGTTTTTCATGGAAGACATTTTAACATGTCATTACATGAAAAGCTCATGTGGAAACGATACAATTAATGATGGCTGAATTCCATTTAGCTGCTTCAGTTACAGGGTCCTGGTGTTTTCATTTTCTCCAAGACTCGATGCTATACAGCTAATTGGGGAATTTTGAGTTTAGGTTGATGCATGCTGTTGTTAACCACTGCGTCCCTGTTGCTCTCTCTTCTCCAGCGGCCCCAGACCTGGTCCTCAATGCCCCAGTTGTGGAACAGACCACCTACCTGGAGGACAGACCCATGTACGCGCTGCAGTGTGCCCATGAGGAGCACTGTCTGTCCAGAACTGCTGACAAAGCTGACCCCACCTCCTACCGCCGCCTTCTCCGCTTCTCCTCCCAGATACATAACAACGGCCACTCAGACTTCAGGCCACGTGCCGCACACCACTCCTGGATCTGGCATGAGTGTCACAGGTGAGACTTACAGTTTGTAGTTTCCTGCTGTTTTTTTAATAGTGACTGTATGAAACCTGATCCATTACTCTTAAATGAGGGGGAATTGTTGTTCTGGCTGCAATGCTACATTGGAAGAGAGCAGAGAAAAATACAATTTATTGAATACTGTATTTGTGAAACTGAATGAAATCATATGAGATGAACCTAATGCATCATTATAGAAAATACATTTATTTATTGACGTTTAAACACAGTAAGTTATCCTGAGCATCCCTATATCCCACTGGCAATGAGACTGTTATTGTGGAGTTACTAAACATAGCTATATCTATAGGATGTTTCAACATAGTGTTTTTCCTTGTCTAATCCAGACATTACCACAGTATGGAGGTTTTCACCCACTATGACCTGCTGAGTCTAAACGGCACTAAAGTGGCAGAGGGACACAAAGCCAGCTTCTGTCTGGAGGACACTCACTGTGACGAGGGTAAATACAGATTTCCCCCTTCCCTTTTTTATTTTTCCTACATACTGTGGAATGAGTAGAATTCTGAGTTATAGTTTAACATGATTTACTTTCATATGGAGAGAACAGTAAAAATATTTAGATTCAAATACTGACTTTGTTAAGAATAAACTATGTTGCTGAATGTTTGATTTGATGGAAGCATCTGTATAAAGCCCGGTCTGAATGGCTCTGCTCTGAATGCTGACAGGTATCCAGAAGAGGTATGAATGTGCAAACTTCGGGGCACAGGGCATCACAGTTGGCTGCTCAGATACCTACAGGCACGACATTGACTGTCAGTGGATCGACATCACAGACCTGAAGCCCGGCGACTACATTTTCCAGGTAGAACATTTGTCCTGCCAGTGTAGCCATACTAGATACAGCACATCTGCTGCTGGAAAGATTGTCTCATCTCCAGCCAGCGTAGTCTTAACAGATAGCAAGACTTTCCACGTCTCTGCATCTGCTTGTGTTTGGCATTCAGCCTAAGTATACTCTTACTCAGACCTAAACAAGCGAGGGAGGGCTGTTGAAGGACACAGAACCGTCTGATGACACTTTGGCTGCTGCACAAACTAAATGTACTAAATATCGAGGTTGTGAGAAATTCTCACATCCTCCACTAGAAAATGATCTTTTCTGAATCAGTTACAGAAATTAAACTCATTTTTTTCTTTCTGAGTCAGTCACTCTGTAAAGTCTCCCTGACACCCTCCTAGTCTACTGCCAGTCACTAAATCTGTTATTCTGTCCTTAGTAATACTTGTAATGACTTATACATGCATAAGCTTTCGCTTTCAGACATTTAACCAACACTGTTTTTGCTCCCCCAGGTTGTAATAAACCCCAACTATGAGGTTGCAGAATCAGATTACAGCAACAACATTATGAAGTGCCGCTCCCGGTACGATGGACAACGGATATGGACATACAACTGTCATATAGGTGAGACCATTAGCTTATGAGGATCCTAATCTGCTCTGCTTTAAGCTTTAAAATGATATAAAGTACAGTGGTAAAATATTAAGTTCAGTGGAAAAAGAGGCTGCATTATAACTGGTTTGTATTTTCTTTAGGAAAGCAAAATGAAATGAAAGCATTTTGAGCAGTTTAGTCATAG